ATGTATAGCTTGGAGGAAATATGAGACAGGGGGGATATGATAGAAACATTTAAATAAGTAAAGGGAATCAACACAGTAAAGGAGGAGACTATATTTAAAAGAAGAAAAACTACCACAACAAGAGGACATAGTCTTAAATTAGAGGGACAAAGGTTTAAAAATAATATCAGGAAGTATTACTTTACTGATAGGGTAGTGGATGCATGGAATATTCTTCCAGCTGAAGTGGTAGAGGTTAACACAGTAAAGGAGTTTAAGCATGCGTAGGATAGGCATAAGGCAATCCTAACTATAAGATAAGGCCAGGGACTAATGAAAGTATTTTAGAAAATTGGGCAGACTAGATGGGCCGAATGGTTCTTATCTGCCGTCACATTCTATGTTTCTATTGTCTATGTTTCTATGTAATTCTAATAAAAGTATTATTAATAAATAAAAAGAAGACAATTTAAAATTTTAATTCAAATAGCTGATATTGGAAAAATGGTCTGGGATCACTGGGTCAGTTGTTTTCCAGAATAAAAATTAAATTATTCCTATTATCAAGTGAAATAGCAGGTGACATGTATAATGATATCGCCAATGCAATGCTGCACGTACTTAGTTTAACCCCTTTGCTAACTGAGTTCCGCTCAGGTTAGTGTCAATTCTGTGCATATTTCTTGGAACGTTATTCATTAGTTGAGAGTGCCCAGCTGTAAAACGTTTTGCCCCATAACCAAAGAACTGCACCAGGGTCCTCCTACCATTGTAAGTCCTGCAGATCGCAATGTAGTGGTTATGAAGGTTAGAAATTGTGAACATTCAAAATGCTGAGAGATTACACAGCTATTTTTCAGTTCTAGTATTTCACCCTAAAATTTGAAATTCACTTTGAATTACTGACAATTCACACATTACTGTATAATTTGTCTAGGGCTTATTAGCAAATCAGTTTGATCACAGTTTAATTATTTTAACCTAAATTTTGCTATATGGATTTAAAGGGACACTATAGTGCCAGGAAAACAAACTTGTTTTCCTGACACTATAGCTTCCCTGTTCCTTGCAGCCCCTCTCATAGAGCAGAAGGGTTTTAAGACCCCTTCTGTCACTTACCTGGGTCCAACGCTGATGTCACTCGGCACTGGCTTTGGTCCGCCTTTGCTCCTCCCCCGCTGACATCAGCCGGCAGGGATACCTAATATACATGTGTGGCAATGGCCGTGCTCACATTAGAATTTCCCCATAGGAAAGCATTATACATTGCTTTCCTATAGGGTTTCGGGTTACTCTGGATGTCCTCATGCATAGTGTCTGGTAGACAGCCTCTAGAGGTGGAGTTAACCCTGAAAGTTAATTATTGTGGTTTCTTAAAAAAAAAAAGAGCTGAAGTGGTCTGGGTGCCTATAATGTCCCTTTAAATTCACTACAATTAACTGTTTAGTGAACAAACTCCTGATTGAATACAGTATTTGTGGGCTATAAAACAATATTTTTATTTTTTTTCCCTCTTTTGTGTATCTCATTCTGCCTTCTCTCTACTAAGATGTGCAGCTTCATCTCACAATATGCTTGGGTTCCACACTGTAGTGAAATAAAATCCAAATGACAAAACTACATCTGAGTTGGCGGTTATTTTTCTTTGCACGGTGACAGAGAACAATCATTTACACATTATGTGAGCAAACACTTTTATTGACTGAAGTAGCATTTTACAACACTTGACAAACTGTTTAAAGGCACTCTGTCAGCTTTAAATCCACATGGCCGTCAGGCTGCTTTAAATAGCCATGCGCAATCCATGATATCCTAAATCTGATCTCAATCTAGTATGAAAATACATAGATTAAAAACAGGAGTGGGCAAAACTGGGTAGATCTCCTATTTATTATTTGTAGAGCTCCAACATATTCATCACCACTTGACAAGTGAATTACGATATTGTTAAAGGAACCCTCTAACATTAGGAATACAAACATGTATTCTTCTTTACATGCCTTATATAACTCGCCTTCCCCATATAGAAGCAGTGGGGGCCTATTGTGAATACGTGGTCATTTTCACTGCTGCACCAACCAGCTTCTCCTCGAATAGATTTATTGACTTAAAGGGACACTCCACTGCCCAAATACAAAATTTTCATTGGAGTTATATATACAAAAAAGGCTTGAAAAAACTGCACATCTAACCCTTCCCAGACTTTCTGTGTCTGTCCAATCGCAGACTTCCCAATGCAGCTCAATGATAGGTCTTTGCAAGGCAAGTTCTCTGGGCAATTGCTGCCTCTAGAGTTCAGTGCAAATAAGCTAACCAAACCAGGAAGAAACAGGACCTGTTGTCTGCTTGAAAACCAGGTTAATTTATAAAAGTGTCAGTTTCGATTGAAATCTGCACTATTTCCAAAATGAAAAACACCCTCTTTACATATGAAGCTTTTCGGCAAGCTAAAGTGCTTTAGGGATCTGGAATGTCCCTTTAATGCATCTACATGGATTGCTTTTGGTGTCCAAATGCAAAACATGAAGATTCAGAAAGCCAGTCCTGCAAAGATCGCAGGACTGCAACAGGGAAAGCCTCTAGTGCAGGCATAGGCAACCTTTGTCACTCCAGATGTTTTGGACTTCACCTCCCATGATGCTTTGCCAGTATTACTGGTGTAAGAGCATTATGGGGGATGTAGTCCACAACATCTGGGGTGCCAAAGGTTGCCTACCCCTGCTAGTGGCTCAGTGAAAACCACTAGCGGTGGCTTTAGGCATAAATGAAATTGTCAGCCTGCATGGACGGTATCTAATCACCAGCATTACTACATTAAGCGGTTGTGGTTCTGATGCTTAAGGTATCGTTCTGAATATCTTAAACATACATGTTTTGGTTTGTGTTATAGCCCAAACCTTTTGCGTTCTAAGAAACACTGCTCTGTTGATGTCATGAGATCATTCCCAACAGATTTACTTTACTGGTCGAGTTCACTGCTAAACCCAAAAGACAATCCACAGAATGTAAGCCTAACATAAAATGCTTGGATGTCATTATTAGCAAAACAGGCAGAACCCAGGATTGTGCATTTCTTTCTAACATTCCATAGTTACCATAGAATGAATGGAATCAAATCCATAGCTCATATTGAGAGAGCTGCCACACGCTGTTTGGACGTTAATTGAAAAGTACTGCCCAGCAGTGTGTAGACTTTACATGCTACCAGAGGGAATCAGTTTATTAAAGGGACACTGTAGTCACCCAGACGACTTCAGCTCAATGAAGTGGTCTGGGTGCCAGGTCCCTCAGGTTTTAACCCTTCAGAAGCAAACATAGCAGTTTCAGAGAAACTGCTATGTTTACATTTGGGGTTAATCCAGTCTCTAATGGCTGTCTTCCGGACAGCCACTAGAGGCGCATCTGCGATGCTGGAGGCACATTTCGCCTCCATCGCACAGAGCGTCCATAGGAAAGCATTGAGGAAAGTGGGGGCACCCTCAGGGCACTATTGTGTCAGGAAAACTGCTTTGTTTTCCTGACACTATAGTGATCCTTTAATCAAGTAAGAGATCCAATTGGATTAGAATACTCTTCCCAACTGTAATATCCTTTGCATAAACCCAATATACCCACAGTTTCAATTACAAATAGATAGGATTTCAATCTTACCTTTCAGAGGTTGTCTAAGTGTCTGCTTTGAGCACAATAGTGGAAACTGAAAATTTTATCATTAAAAACTGTAAACACAATGGGAAAACCCCATGACTCCATAAACCATAACATTTCTAGTCTCATAGTTGAAAGAAAACCTATGATAGTCAATGTTCAGCTTGCTGCACCGTGGTCAAAGTTCTCATATGATGGAAAGTGCTCACTTCTCTCCATACAAACTGTCAGGTTTTCCAGAAACATTGAATACCAAGAAATGTGGGACAGCACACTCATACCAAGCACAAGTTAAGTTTATTTACCAAACAGATTATCTGGAATGTGAATCAGGTAAATTTAGCTCAAATAGCCATGCTGAGATTGCAACACACCTATATTCTCGGGCATTTGTCAAATTGATGGTTTCAATTCACAGTAATCCACTATTTACCAAACTACAACATGACTGACAGTTTGCGTGGCGTCCTCGTGGGGTGAAGATTGCTTTGCATTTTATTCCCAATGCATATTTAGGTTTTTTACCTAAAACATCTGATAAGTTTACATTTTTATTTCACAGGAATTTGGTTAACGGACTCCACCACTATTACTGGGATGAGGGAGGGTAGGTAGGGTAACTTTTTATTGGAGATAGGTTTTTTTGAGATAATTGCTATGGGCATCATTTTTTTTCTTGTTGACCCCACTTGTCACCAATTTAGGGTAGAAATAATTCCCTCCCCCATTACAGCCCTCACCCAATGCCAATGGGTGAAGGCTGAAGGAGACAATAGTAGAATACGTATTTGTCCAAAAGCAAATGCCCAAGTCTAGTTAAAATTATCATCCAAATTTTATAGTGTCATATAATGTCTTAATATTTGAGTGGTTGTGTTATAAGATAACATCTATATAGGTGGCAGTTTGTGGGGGTGAAAACTCTCTTAAGGGAAAGGTCAGATGAGAATTGTCAAACTGGTACATTTCAAGCACCTTGTTAATGCCACACCATGTATATTTCAGTCTACTTCGGGAGCAAAGTGAAGGATGGGGGGGAACGACATCCTTCTTAGTATTATGTGTACGTAATATTGTAATTACTATGTAACGATCACTATGCAGTGCAGAAACCTTTCACATACATGTCCCACTGTGCTCATAAATAATTGTATGTGTAGTGGAACTCGCACACCTAGGAGTAATGTTATTTGTCCATGCATCAAACAAAACATAAGTAGATTGCACCCTGAACTATATTAACTATTTTCAGTAAAGTCCCATGATTTACTTCCTCGTGTGTTGTAATAACAAACAGCCCCGTATTATCCAAATATTTTGTTGAAAAAAGAAATGTTCTACATTGTACCTTTGAGGGGTGTGGTAAGACCCCTACAGAGCTTCCTGAATTTTATTTGACAGTGTTCCAAGAATATTTAGGGAAATCAAGGTTTTCAGTGACACAGCCTTGTCCCAGCACAATTTAGTTTGTTTGTTGGTGTTCAAACAGAAAGCGATTACCAAATTAAGAAAACACAGACGGTATATCTTAACTCCGTAGAAGAATCTTTAGCTTGACGTCTTCTGTAACTGTAAGTACCTCCCTTTTAGAATTATGTAGACCTATTAACTCAGAGTACAACTGGGATTAAAGAAATCGATTGTGGTTTTCAGCCATATACAGGAAATTAGATTAATTTGTTTTTTTACTTCTCTCTTTTGCCTATTTTTGGGTAAATAAACTGAAGCGGTCATGCAAACTCGTCATGTTGTACATTGTAGTTGAGTTGGTTACTCCAAGCACCACTTTACTGATTTAAAGTGGTCAGGGTGCTTGGAGTCTGTACATGCAGTGTTTCACTATTAAATGGTGCACATACAGAGCTGACTAATGACACTGCTGGAGGTAGCATTACATCTCTGCAGTATCATTATCCAGTCCAGAAAAAAGAGCGTTCCGCCCTGGTTTAAAGGACCACTCTAGGCACCCAGACAACTTTAGCTTAATGAAGTGGTCTGGGTGCCAGGTCCTTCTAGGGTTAACCCATTTTTTCATAATTATAGCAGTTTCAGAGAAACTGCTATAATAGCCTTCCCCCTATTCCTCTAGTGGCTGTCTCATTGACAGCCACTCGAGGGGCTTGCATGCTTCTCACTGTGATTTTCACAGTGAGAGCACGCAAGCGTCCATAGGAAAGCATTGTAAATGCTTTCCTATGCGACGGGCTGAATGCGCGCGCGGCTCTTGCCGCGCGTGCGCATTCAGCCGGCGGGGAGGATCGGAGGCGGAGAGGAGGAGGAGAGCTCTCCGCCCAGCGCTGGAAAAAGGTAAGTTATTACCCCTTTCCCCCTTCCAGAGCCGGGCGGGAGGGGGTCCCTGAGGGTGGGGGCACCCTCAGGGCACTATAGTGCCAGGAAAACGAGTGTTTTCCTGGCACTATAGTGGTCCTTTAAGTTGGTCTTGTGCATATTAGATGTCTGTCGGCAGCACACACAATGAGAAATGGAGGCACCCCCTTCTTAAATCCCCCTTATTATCAGGCAGAATGATGTCACTTGATGATTGGGTTGCCAGAAGAATGTCCTTTTGGTGGGTCAAAGTGAATTTCCCATTTGCTTTTGTGGGTGTGGTGGGTACCAGGACTGCAGCTCCATCCAAAAAGCAGTATTTGATTAGTATAACCCTTTAATAAATCCATACAGTATGCTTAACAGTAACTAATAACTAGAAACAAAATTGCATGCTATTTCTAGATTTGGTTCTCTATACTATTCATTTTGTCTCTGTACACTTGTACCCCCTCAATAATAACTATATCAAATATTTACACAGTAAAAGATATGTTTTGGAGGTGATGCCCTAATGATATACAGAGTCACAAATCCTGATGATTTTCCTTTCCACATACTGCACTAGGTTCTTGTATATGCTTTTATATTTATGCACAATAAATGTGGGTGAAGTTATTAAAAAAAAAAAAAAAAAGTCAGAATTGCAAAACGCATTTGACATAAGAAAAAAAAAAGGGAGCAAACAAGTCCACTACATAATTTTAGAACAATGCAAAGCAGTGTTACATCTATAAAGCTGTAGCCTAAACGTGAACAACATGTTGATCATGTGTCCTCTACTCAAAAGACAGAAGAGAGAGAGCAAGATACCTGGCTTTGAGTATAGTTATGGTGCCAGAAACGTGTCTGTATGTTCACTTTAAGTCAACCCAAGTGTGTTTGCACCTAAATCAAATTTAAAGTCATACAGTGGCTAGCTTGTTATACTCAACCAGCAGGGAATGCCTGACACTTGCATAGGCCGTAAAGTGAAATTTGTTAGTACCAGGTACAGGCAGTAAATGTCAGAATTATAATAGTGCGATTGAAAAGCAGATTCCTAATTTTGTCCCTTGCACAACAATCAGTCCCTGCTGTAACTGCTTTAGAACATATTGACATGATTCAGAATAAACTGCTAATTGAGAAGTAATTAGAAAAGTTTCTCCCATAACATATTATAAAAAAACGTCACCCAGGCTAAACCATCTCAATGAAGTGATATGGGTGCAGTATTCCTGTCCTTTTAACCCTGCAATGTAAAACATTTTTACATTGCTGGGTTAAATCCATATTTATACAGACTGCCACTACAGGTACTTCAGGACCACTGACCATTTATAACTCTTGACACAGAAGCCCCACACAATAAAAGCATTGATTCAATGTCTTTCTGTGGGGAGGCTTGAATGGGCACGTGATACTTGACATGGATCAAATACCCAATCCTCCTCTACGAGAAACATCGGATTGGACCATGCTGGAGGAGTACACTAAAGCATTAGATACAGGTTTGTATTCCGAACGCTTTAGCGCTCCTTTACCCTATATTGTGCACAAATAATAACCAGATGTAGTGATATATATAAACCACTTTTTATACTTCACAAGGGATCTAAGTTGCATTGCCTGGTCTATTTGTAAAATGGGGAGCAAGGGGCCCATCTATCATACCCAAAGGATAATCCACCCATGCAACATTTAGAGAGGGTCATGTGCTGCAACATGCTTTTGGCCATCAATCCCCGTTGCCCAGTCCTTGATGGTCTATTAGTAGAGAGTTCAAAATTTCAACTTGGCAGTAGCCATTGGCAAGTCACAAGTTTGACCTGGCGAGTACAAATTCACCTTTGGGGAGTATGACAAACCCTCCAGGCTTGCCGTGGCGAGTAACTTAAAGCCTGGATAGTATTGTAGGTCTTGATATTCTAAGCCCTAGGTTTGTGTATTCCCATAACAGGTCCCCACCCACAGATATGAGTAAAAACAGCACAATTCAGAACTCAAACATACTGCAATAAAGGATAACAGACTTGGTATATTCAGCTCTTGCAGTGTATATTTATTTAGGTTGTACACACAGTACATGAAACACAAGGGACACCAGATTGTGTCGATCTGCCAAATTGACCCAGTGAACCAGTCTGGACAGTTAGCTCTCCAGCCCAGTATATACTGCAAGACTTCTAGCCTTTCATGGCTATATCTATAATATGTCACCAGCAAGGATGGAAAGGTTTTAAATTCTGTTGGGAACCATCAGTGCCTTGAGGGTTTGGACAGATATAGTTCACGCCAGCTGTTGTACTAGTTTGTCTTCCTTTGATTACCAGTGCACAGCCAAATTACAGGACAAAGATTACCCATGTCCTAAATGGCCTAGCAAAGACTCCTGCTTAGCTATGCATACACACTTGCAAATTATCATTTAGGCCAGGGCTAGTCAAAAAGGTTGTTGTAGAACTGGTTTCAACTGTTGTAGAACTGGTTTCCATGATTGTGTTTTTTTTTGCCTAAGGCTGGCAAAAGATCTTGGGACAAACCTACAACAGTCAATTGACTACCTTTTGGCCAACCCTGCCCAAACAAGGCCTGTGATAACTATCTGAAATCTATTAACAAGCCTGGTAAACTACCTCCCTTAACAACACAACTCAAAGGAAATAAATAAAAACAAAACCACAATAGACATTTTTGTACATTTGGTCAAAAAGGTGAAATCAAAATTTGTTTAGAGAGCACGTGTGTGTTTTACAAACAAATTAAAGGCTATGAAACTATTTCTAAAATGAGTAAACAATTTAGAATTTAGGAATATTACAGAAAAGAACAGAAATCAACTTGTCTGAAGAATACATGTGTTCCAGTTAGAATTTGTTTTGTATAGTGCCTAGTGAGTGTTATCTGTATACATATCTGGGTAATCACTGATCATTAACAGCAGTGCTCACATATGTGTATCTAATTTCAAAATGGAGACTGGTCTATGTTACAGAGAGCAGGGAGGTGTATAACAAGAAAATAAACCAAACCAGCTACACTTGACAATTAATTAGGACAGCCAGCAGGATCCACTGAGAGACATTTAAACATCATGAGAGGTGGGCTAAAGGACTTTTATCTTTTCATTTACAGGTTGTGTTCACCCCTCCCCCCCACCCCCCAAACCCTGGGCCCATGTCCCCTATGAAAATTCAGTTATAAAGTGTAGTTAAATGCAAGATCTGCAATCCCACCTGCCTGTGGCCTGTAACTCCAAGTAGGTTTGGCTTGGCTTGGGTTTCTAGGAGTTGCAGTCTACAGAAGATGAACTGCTTGAGCCTGCCAATCCCAGATTACATGGAGTGTATGTAGATGTGATTGAATTAATAAAAGTCACTGGTTTTGCTACATTTTAGTAGAGATTTGTAAATAGTACTCAAAAGTCTTATTTTACAAATGATTGGCCAGACATACTTTCCTTGCCCTACGAGTTACAGCTAATATTACTGGTCAATAGCTGGCTACAGAGAAGACCCCCTCACCGATTCTGGAACAAGAATCTTAATATGACCAGCGGTGGGGTACAATGAGCTGGGGCCTTCACAGTACTGGAAATGGTGGGCAGAAACCTACTCCCCCCACAAACCAGGTCTATGTTTGTCACAGTACTAATAAGCAGAAAGGAACATGAATATCTAGGTTGAATATTAAGGACATATGAGATAAGGGAGGCACTGACAAGGTCACATAATGGCACGTCACATCTCATCATCCAGGCCATAGTCTTCTTCTGGGTAGTCACCAACTGATACATGCTGAGGTTTGACAAATGCACCATACTTTGGAGAGCATGTGAAGTAGCGTTTTCCCTCAACACTGCAAAGAGAAAAGGCAAAAAATGAGTTATATAAACAAGGCATTCAGGCTACTTATCACCCTTAGGTAGGATATTATGCCACCAAACAAAATAGTTAGTATTTATTGGTTTATGAATCTGAAGGGTTGAACATCTGCGTGAGTGGAGAATATGCATGTAACAAATAAAAAACAGTTAGAAAGTGTTGATATAAACCTGGCATATAAAAAAAACAAAAAACAAAAAAAAACCCACAACAATGCAATACACATTTAAAAGCTTAATAGTACTTAAATGCCAGGAGAGACTCCTCACTGCACTCGATCCGCCTACCATCAGAGCATCAAGCTTGATGATCAGTGTCCAAAGAAACAATATTGTTCCCATCAGCAGCATCTATGCCCCAAAATAATTTCATTACAATGTCCTTTTAATGGCTTCACAACACAATCCAAAATGCAGGCATTTAATCCCATTTTCCATAAAGCTATCAGTAAGAACATTCTGTTGGTTCCCATGGTGACTGATCCATTTTTGGAGAACACTCACCTTCCGTCATGTTTTCCAAGAGGTTCATCATACTTCACTCCAACCCAATATCCGGGTTTAAAATCGGTTTGACCTGCAATTAGACAAATACATTTGTGTATTACAAGCAACAGAAACCCACTAATAAAATACACCTGTGGCACATGTTCTCTAGGGATATTGTGTGCTATAATTTGCCCCTAAGCTGAAATGAAGATGCTCTGACATGTCTGGGTATGTGGGTCACTTCAGAATCACAATATACATATAAATATGCTTAAAGCACTCCATCAACCAAATTTAAAGACCTCCACTACTGCTGAAAGATCCAAGCTCTGTCACAGCCGAGCATGTCCTCGGCAAGACACCCAACGCTAAATATCTGCATAGCTAAAATCCTTATAGATTGTAAGCTTGTTTGAGCAGGGTCTTCTTCACCTCTATATATCCCCTTTCTATAATTGTAAAGCATTGTGGTATATATTGGTGATATATGAATGCTGATAATAAATTATAAATAACCTCAGGCACAGATATCCATGCTAGCAAACAATATGGTACCCAGGTACCATAATATAAAGTGGTTTAATGGGCTTCTATTGCCACGGCATGTGGCATTCATGTTTGTGAGTGCATAATATTTAAAATTTGCATGTTTGTTTTTATGGTATTATCCTACGTGTTATTTCTTTTTAAGCTATTAAAGAATATTTACCCGGTCTTCATTACCACTATTATACTTCATCGTTCATCCCCTTTCCGCTGATGTATATGAGGGATTATGCTGCTTCTGTATATCATTCATGTGCGGTATTTTACGTGTTTTCTGTGTTTCACACATAATATATTATTTTTATCAAGAAGATTCACTTTGTTTGTTATCTACATTTATTTTCACACCACTTTATTTGAACAAGAATTGTACCTGAAGAAAGCCAAGGAATAATATTGGGAAACCAATAAACTAGAGAGAGTAAACCAAGACACAGAAGTCTTCTCTCATTGTTACGTACCCACATACATAACAGTTCCCCGCTTTGTAGGTAGGCCGACCGCTCGAACCTCGCATCGTGCACCTGTTGTGATGGCCTCTGCAGCTACCCTCTCCTCCTCTATCTTGCGATCATTCTCTGCTTTCATCTGGGCTGTTTCTGCCTCATTAAACTTCCCCATCTTGTTCTTCTTCAGGAATGAGCGCACAGAATCTATGAGAAAATGGAGACAGAAATTGGGTGGTCAACGTCTACCTCAAACCAGTCACAGGAATCAAAAGTTACTTCATGAATGACGATTTTGTATGAAGGCTTCTAGAACTAGTTCTATTATGCTGATCAGCACAACTGATGGATTATACTTTGTCAGAGGTCTCTTTAAAAAAGTCTTAACCGATGATACCTCAGCTTTTTTGCATTTCAGCTGTTGTGACTGTTATTCGTGATGTGCTAGATGAACATCATGGAAACTAACATCTACGACAGTTAGAATACAAAAAGTTAGCTGTTATCAGGCTACTAAATTCATTTTTAGGAAACCTATATGAATGGATGCTGCCAATTAGGATGGTTAGTTGGTGGTACCGCTTACAAAATAGAACATTTCCAACCGTGGATGTTGAGGTAAATATCTATTAATTACCAAGTATAAATCCAACAACAAGAAATTGTAGGAAATGAAAAATATTAACTGGGTTTATCCTCCGCATCTGATGTACTAACCGTGTCTGGTGCTCAAGGATAAAATAAATGTTTGGGATAAGCACAGGGCTAGGGTTTCTTTGTACACACAAAATATCCACAATGTGTAAAATATATAAATAAAACAGATTTACGGCCTAAAACCTTCATTAACGATGCAGTTCCATCTACACAGCTGGGGGAAATAAAAATCTAAAGTGAGGACTGCAGGGAATTCAAAGAAAATTTCAAAACATAAGGTTAACGATCTATACTGCAAACACAATTGACTTAGTAACAGAATTATAAACATATGCTTATTCAGAAATTCACTTTGGATTCCCATAAATTCTCAGTTTAGTGAAAAAGTCTGTAAATCTTTATTCACATTTGGTCCTGTGGCTTTTTTTTAAGTATTAAAAAATTAATTGATTAATTTCAGCATGTGACACAAAGTGCAGGTATTTATAGAATAGAAGCCCTTGTTGCCACAGCAGAAACCCACCTCCAAACAAATCAGAAGGAAAAAAATTAATTCCAGGAGATACTTGAAAACCAAGTGAAAGCTAAATGCATTATGCCGGTTATTATTATTGGGATTTATATAGCGCCATCTTATTCTGCAGCGCTTTACATTAAAAGTTGTTAAATATTTAGATAACTAATAGCAAAATAATGCTTCATGTTCTTCGATCTACATGCTCGATTAGTCCGTTTAGGTGGAACAACATCTTTAAAAGGGATTTCATGTTACTGCAGCAAACAGTTATGCACGGGTAGGGAATGAGTTTATAAATCTGAATATGAACAGGAGAACCATGATTGACACTAGGTGGCATGATTTGAGTGAGACCTTGCGGTGAAAGATTTTTTTTGTTGTTGTCACAGATTAGAAAGCAAAACAAACATTTTGGTCACTTTTTTATCCCTTGTTGCAGTGAGCTGAATTCTAACAGGATGGTTTATAGACTACTGATACTGTGGCTGCTGGCAACTGGTCCTTATAAAATTCAATGGGCAGCTGAAAGGGAAATTGATCGGCAGCATAGGCGGAAGGTGGAATGACACTGAGGGATGCACCTGTTCTTTTCTCATAGGCTTCGTTTGATAGCTCATATTTTTCCACCCTGGAGAGGTCCTCGAACTCCCCAATCCTTGCGCCACTCTTATCTATCACCTGCAGGTAGACATTAATTATCATAAGAGCACCATTATTATGTTATAGGTCTGTGCAGATTGGGAATACATAATGAGAACACACACACAAATCATAAAGATTGAAACAATCAAGTGTAAGCTTCTGTCCCTCTGCTAGTGTTCGAAAGATCAATAAGAAAACATAACAGGCACAGGCAGGAGTTGTTGTTTGGAATGAGAATTTTGAAGTAGGGAAAATATGAAGAATTCCATAGTTGGATTCCCACGTCTCAGCCAATTAAAACAGGTTTTTAAATAGACATGTCAAAATATATGAATAAAGAAAAATAATTTTTGAATTCACATGTCTGCAAAACGGCAATGAAGACTAGCAGTCATGAAAATAAAACAAAACATTTACTACGCTTAACTGTGAAGTGAGACCAAAGTGGCCAATGACAATCAACAGTGGCAGGGACAATCAAATGTGGGTACTATGCAGGTAGAATAATAACAGGCAGGAGGCAGGATTCTACCAGAAGAGAGAAAAAACACATGGCAGTTCTCACAGACATGCTTATACAATGAAGTCCTGAGTACCTATTTGCACACAAATCTTATATAACTCTTGCAATTCTGCCAACACAACATATAGTGCATTGATGGTTTATGTTTGGTACCCTGGCTGAAGACTAGCCAACACCGGTCTATGGACCATTTCTTCCATGGTTGGTCTTTAGTAGCTGGCTTACATTGAAAGGAACGTCGGGCAGATTGTGTATTAAAAAGGATAGCTAAAAATAAATTAAGTTGAGCACCTTTTCTAAATGCATTAAAGGACCACTATAGTGCCAGGAAAACACTCGTGTTTCTGGCTCTGGGGAGAGGAAGGGGTTAAACACTTACCTTTCTCCAGCGCCCGGCGGGGAGCTCTCCTCCTCCTCTCCACCTGAGTGCGCATGCGCGGCAGGAGCTGCGCGCGCATTCAGCCAGTCTCATAGGAAAGCATTCATAATGCTTTCCTATGGACGCTTGCGTCTTCTCACTGTGATTTTCACAGTGAAAAGCACGCAAACGCCTCTAGCGGCTGTCAGTGAGACAGCCACTAGAGGCTGGATTAACCTATTTATAATCATAGCAGTTTCTCTGAAACTGCTATGTTTATTAAAAAAAATGGGTTAACCCTAGCTGGACCAGGCACCCAGACCAATTCATTAAGCTGAAGTGGTCTGGGTGCCTAGAGTGGTCCCTTTAAGGCTTCTTCTCTTATTAAGCATCAAGAGTTGTGTTTAGGTATTCTGATATATTTCAGCTGACTACTAGGGGCATGACCTTTTGCAGATCAAACCCTTTTAGAAAAAAAAAAAAAAAAAAAAAACAGGCACCCAAGTCAATTATATCTTCAATTAAATTGTTTAAATACATTTACAATCACCAAGTTAATATATGACCTGGTGATTGAATATATAATATATTGAGCTAAAGTTGTTCTGGTGACTATAGTGTCCCTTTAATTTAGAATTTCTTATCTCCTGCATTCTTAAAGGCCCTCTGGACCCACAGAAGCCTCCTGTGTCTGATTACAGTTTAATTTACAGAGTTAAGGGTAATCTAAATTAAGATCTGGTGTAAAGTGAAACCATTTTTTTTCATACAGATTGTATCAGTCACAGACAGGGAAAGTTTGGCTAGGGCTACATGGACAGAGACAAAAATGAGTTCTCTCCTAAATTACAGAGAATAAAAAAAACAAAAACAAAAAAAAAAAAACAATATTTATTTTTTTATTACAAAAGAAGTCAAACCCTTTATTAAACACACTGAACATATTTAAAGGAACATGCCGGACATCATAACTTAATCAAAATTAAGTTATGGTCCCTGGGCACTTGCTTACCTGAAAGGGTTAAATCAAGCATGTCAAACTCAAAGGCTAACACGGGCCAAATAAACAGGGTTTAAGTGGGCCGCAAAAAAAAAACCCAAAAAAAAATAAAAAAAACCTTTAGTTTTCATAGAAATAAAGGTTTATTTCGAAAAGTACCGTATTAAAAAATAAATAAAAAAAATCTGACTCTGGATGTCCTCACACTCGTAGGGCTTCAAAGTAAACAAAAGAGTGAATTTATTTTAAGGAGATGTGCATTTGCATAGAACAAATGTTTTGGACAGACTAGATAGCCCGAATGGTTCTTATCTGACGTAACATTCTATGTTTCAGTCCAACTACCTTGACATAATAAGAAAAGTTTGTTAATGGGACTGAAATGGTTATTGTATGCTGTTGCACAGCTGTAAAATACAAATGACGTTATTTTGTTGATTTTGAAGTCCTATGAGTGTGTTCTTCAATTGGCTGAAATCAAACTTGATGATCTCAGCCAATCAAATGCTTTCCCACAGGAAAGCATTGGGAGGCTTTCGAGCATGTGTGGCAAAACGCTACGCGACCAATGACCTTTCCATGGGGAGTATTCAGCACCTCTATGCAGACCCAATATAATACACTGCTCAAGCAGGTCAGATGCTCCTCTGGCACTGTGAGCAGGAGGGAAGGGGGAGTGGCTAGCATGCTCTGCAGAATGCCAGCCACTCTGCACACTGTAGCACAGCTGGTGGACATGACATCACATGCTGTATGCACATATCCGGTGGCTGGCGTGGCTGGCGTGGACTAACACTTAGCGCTCTTGCAGCCATCGTCGCACGCGATCGGCCGTGGTATGGCAGACAGGAAAGATCTTTCCTGTCTTGTGGCTGGTCACAACCACAGCACAATGCAGCGCCTGGGCAGGTGGGCCGTAAAGATAGTCATTGTGGGCCGCAAGTTTGACATGCTTGGGTTAAACCGTTTAACCTGAAAGGTTGCCTCCAATGCTGGATCTCCAATTTTCCCAGTGGCATCTGTACCTTTTATTTTTATATCATAAATGAGTTGTATTATTATAAATCAGTTATTTTGTCCAAAAATTATAAACTTGTCTGAATTCCAGACAATTTTAGGTGACCATCTATGTGCCTATAAAGTCATGCTAGGTAACTTGAAAGGAGAATCACGTAGAAATTAAAAATTGCTTAAAGGATCACTATAGGCTATAGGGTAAGGAACAAAAACATGTATTCCTGACCCGTTAGTGAAAATCCACCAATTAGGTGGCTCCCCCCCCCCAGAATGGGTTAAAAAAAAAAAAAAACCCTCACCTTATTTTCAGCTCTCCACAGCTCTGCTGGTGCTGGCCCCGCCCCCTCGGTGACATCAAAATTGCTGATTTTTAGCCAATCCAATGCATCTCCATGAGGAAAATTCAGCGTCCCCATGCAGAGCGTGGAGACTATGAACGGCAGGGCCGCTTACTGTGCAGCAAATGTAGCACTGTAGGTTCCATAATGCTTTGCCCACCAACAAGCTGAAGCACCATGGTGGTTGCAGAATCACGAGCAGCTGTATGGTTCGGTCTTGTCCATGTGGTTACTTATGTGCATTTATCACACAAGAATGCAAGATCTTTTCTAAATACGGATAAGTTAATTAAATATTCCAATCACACTAGATTTCACCAGTACAAACTAGATGAAGAATGTGTGTGCAAACATCAGTGTTACAGAGCTTGGGCTTAGCAAACGGCTAAAGTAGAAGATGGGACACAATAAAGATATGACAAAAACAAGATAGCATTTAACATGTTCAGGATTACTAACGTGGATCCTGCAGCCATCATCAACCGGGTAAGACCCTAGTAATGCATCATCCTGGTCCAAGTTCTGAAGGAAAGTGTTGTCTGCACTGAACAACTGCAAGTCCATACATGATGCTGGAGAGCCAACCACCAGTTCTAGCTTACACTGAAAATAAATGGGAACAGACCATCAAAACATCATATACATATACACCACTGTAAAAAATTTTTTTTAAAAAGTCTTAAAATTTAACACATTATACATTACATTGTAACAAGCAATTTGTTCTTTTACTGAATAAAGTTGCTATTCACGAACATCCAAATGACAAAACGTAGGCTTAAATAGGTGAACTGAAAAACAAAATTCCAATATTGTCTTAGTTTTGCCATTTGGATTTCAATGTGTTATAATTAGAAATTTAGTAAGTAAAGCACTATGTATTTAAATTGTGGTAAAATAGCTCTTTTTACTACGGTCAAACACCTTTCATCTGCTCTCCCTCATAACCACTTTAACAGGAGTAAGGGGAGGTGCTGATCTGCAAACAACATTATACGTATCACATTTGGTAGCATTCACGGATCATGCATGTGAACTTTACAATACACACCCAACACTACAGATTTTCAGATTTCATAAAAATCAATAAAGATGGCAGCATCACAAGTTCAGTGACTCACATCAACCCACCTGTGGTTGTGAGGAGTTCCTAAGAAACCTGCAATGTTAGGTGTACTTTAAGCACATGACAATGTCACGTTGTATGAGACAATTGTTTAATCCCGTGAAGGTGAATCACATCAGTAAATATAGTTAGAAAGTGAGTGTGTGTTGAAGTAGAGACCTCTCCTTACAATGTTTAGTTGTAGAAGGGAAATAACCCAAGCCTGAAACTATGACTCGGAATGAATGCAGGTACTAGCCAGAGTATAGGGGCTTAAGGAACCCAGTAGTACAGCTGACAGGGGGCACTGTTATTCTGTTTGACATTGTATGCCATCACCACTATCTTAACAACATTCCTTACAATAGTATTAAATTACTGTTATTGTCCTTTCAGTACCTCAACTTCATTCCTTCTGAAGGACCAAACTAAAAAGCCTCAAATATCAAATGTAAAATTATAAAAAACAAAAAGTAGTGCTATAACAACCACCTACAAAATAAGGAGGTAGCCGAACCTCCCAAGCTTATGTTATAAAGAATTGCATATTTCCTGGAATGGATTCCTAGACATTATAGGACATACATGTGCATTCCAGGAAATAATCTTAGTTAATTACGACCATTCTACAATTGCAACTATTTCACTGTGTAATGGGCATATAGAATGAAAGTCTTCTGCATTGGTGTTTGAAGCTTCACAAACATCAACCACAAAGGGACTCGAATACTCAATCTTATGATTCGAAGTCAGACGCCTTATCCATTATGCCACGCGGTCTCAATTTTTTTTTTTTTTTAAACACACGTAGTAGTATATGCGTGTGGCTCAAGTACAGAGGCTTCTCAATGATAGCGTATTCCTCTTCACAGACTGAATGTCTGTGTTCGAAAAAGAGGGGCAACCTGCGGACAGCAGGTATGTTGAAACCAGGTCTTTTATAGCACTTCTGTAGGCCAAAACATATACAGTGTAAGATAACTTATAATAATGCTGGAGTACATGTTTAGGTGTCCAGCCCCACTCTGATAGGAGTTAAAAAGGTATGTTCTTTACCTTTTCTCCACTGTTGTGCTGGTCTTGCCAAGGCTGGCCCCGCCTTCGAGGCTGAGATCATCAATCTTGATCATCTTAACCAATCCAATATTTTCCCCATAGAAAGCAATGGGTGGCTATTACGCATGCACTGCAAAACACGGCACTAATCAGCAACTTCTTATAGGGATGCATTGAATCAATGCATCTCTATGGGGAGAGTTTAGCATATCCTGGAAGTTCCTCTAGTCTATTAGCTGTCTGAGTGACTGCCAGTAGAAGTGTTACTAGGCAGCAATGTAAACACTGCATTTCCAGGGACATGTTCTATCCACCAGAGCCACACTACCTTAACCCCTTAAGGACCAAACTTCTGGAATAAAAAAGGCAATCATAACATGTCACGTGTCCTTAAGGGGCTAAAGGACCACTATAGGCACCCAGACCACTTCAGCTTAATGAAGTGGTCTGGGTGCCAGGTCCATCGAGGGTTAACCCTGCCTGTTGTAAACATAGCAGATTCAGAGAAACTATGTTTACATTAGGATTAATCCAGCCTCTAGTGGCTGTCTCATTGATTTTTACAGTGAGAAGACGCCAGCGTCCATACGAAAGCATTGAGAATGCGTTCCTATGGACTGACTGAATGCACGCATGGCTCTTGCCGCGCATGCGCATTCAGCCGATGACGTCCGAAGGAGAGTCCCCAGCACCGAGGGAGGCCGGCGCTGGAGAAAGCTAAGATATTAACCCCTTCCTCCTCCTTCAGCCCGGCGGGAGGGGGGCCATGAGGGTGGGGGCACCCTTAGGGCACTATAGTGGTCCTTTAAGTAGTAGTGGTTCAGGTGACTATAGTGTCCAGTTAACTACTGCATGTATTTAATACTTTTGTCACTTTTACATTTCTGGCATATGGTGCTACATTATGTGTTTAACATATTTTTCTATAATATTTTCTTCTTTCACGTGCTTTAACCCCTTAACGCCGTTCTATGCCGTCCCCATTTAAATGGGCTTTAAAGCCGTTGCGGCGGCGCCGTAACGACTTTCACCCCCAGGAGGTAAAAGTTACTTACCTCCTCCGCGATCCTCTTCGGGAGGACTGCCTGACAGCCCAAGCTGTCCTCCCCTCGGAGGCCATGTGATCGCTCTCAAAGAGCGATCACATGGCCCCCTATAGGTGGCTGTGGATCTGCCAGCAGGGGGACTGTCTGAAATGTCAGACAGTCCCCCTGCTGGTGGGAAGAATAATACAAATATTATTAGACAAATTTAATTATTTATTTATATACACACACACACCATATATATGTAACATGATACTTAATGTATTTTAATGTTAATATATATACACTTAGAATGACGTTACATATATAAGATATATATATATATATATATATATATATATACACACACACGTATAATTACAATAGTAAATAAAAAATTTTTTAAATCTAAATAAATCATATATACATATGTAATCTCATTCGAACTGTATTTTGTTATTAATACATATATATTGGTAACAAAATACACTTAGAATGACATTCTATATATATATAAAATACAAATAACTGCAAATATATATATTTACATAAATAACTACATATGTATACGCGTAGAATTTAAATACATTTATATATAAAAATTCTACATGTATGCTTAAGTAATATTTTAACATAATTATGTGATTTAATTAATTAAAATTTGATTGACGTGCCTGACAACCCAGGCAGCAAGTGCAGAGAATTAAATTCGCACGCGCTATATTTAACGCTGTAACTTTCCAAGACACCATAAAACCTGTACATAGGGGGTACTGTTTTACTCGGAAGACTTCGCTGAACACAAATATTAGTGTTTCAAAATGATAAATTGTATTACAACAATGATATATTTAGTAAAAAAGTGACTTTTTTTGCATTTTTCAACACACATGAACGGCACTTTTACGGACGATATTATTGTTGTAATACAAGTTATCATTTTGAAACACTAATATTTGTGTTCAGAGAAGTCTCCCGAGTAAAACAGTACCCCCTATGTACAGGTTTTATGGTGTTTTGGAAAGTTAGAGAGTCAAATATAAGGCTTGCATTTCATTTTTTTCACATTGAAATTTGCCAGATTGGTTACGTTGCATTGGAGACCATATGGTAGCCCAGGAATAAGAATTACCCCAAACGCAAAGTATTGCAAATGGGGTATGTCCAGTCATTTTTAGTAGCCACTTAGTCACAAACACTGGCCAAATAAATTTAAACAAAAACAAATATGAACGCTAACTTTGGCCAGTGTTTGTGACTAAGTGGCTACTATAAAAGACTGAACATACCCCACTTGCAATATCCTGGGTTGTCAACTATTGCAAATGGTATGCCATCATGGGGGTAAATCTCATTCCTGGGCTAACACACGGTCTCAAAGGCAACATAACCAACCTGGCGAATTTCAATTTGAAAAAACTGAAAAATGGAATGTGCTATATTTGACCCTTTAACTTTCCAAAACACCGTAAAAACGTAATGAGACTTTGCTGAATCCAAATATGTGGGTTTTTTTTTGCAGTTAAAGCCAACGGTATTATGACATTTACAGCTAAAATGTCTACAAATTTTTTTTTAAATCTTAATTTCTCACAGTTGTTTTAAATTTTATTCAGAATAAATTATGTTTGAAATATGCAATTAAAGCCCAGTTTCTCCTGAACAAAAATTATATAATAAGTGTGGGTGCACGTAATATGAAAGAGGTGAATTACGGTTGAACAGACATATAGCGCAAATACCAGTTTTTGTTTACATTTTGTTGTGATCAGAATGTGTACTATTGTTAAAGATTTTTTGTTGTTGTTGTTGTCCAACCTCCACCATGGCTTTAAAATTGAGGACCCCCCCTTCGGCCGGTTACATTGGTTAACGAGGACACC